ACAAAATCAGAGCTCTCTTAGTAAGGAAGAGGGGGAAATTACTTAGGCCATAAACAATAATATTTTAATTGCTTAGAACTTTTAGAACCCTTTCAATTTTAGCTTTTATCAAAAGCTCAAGGGACTGTTACATGTACTGTTACAAAAATCCCTTCGTGTATCCATGTATTCATCATTGAGATATAAAAATAAAAATGTAGCATTTTATACTATGTAATATGTCCCAAATAGTACATAGCTCTTTATGTGTTTGTGTGTTTATGAAGCTGGATGAATATAAGAAGAGAAAAATGTAAACATATTTCTATATAAATGATACATGAGAGCTAGTTTTCAAGTTATCTATACTAGGGTTATAGAGCAAGTGACTGGCATGGAGGTAAGGAGGTAGCACACCTGTAGAGATTTCTGGGATCAGCTGACAGGTAAAATTTATCCTGCCTCCCAGGATTTTAGCTGATCTCCATAATGTCACCAAGAACTGACCAGGGGCAAAAAGGAAGTGGTGTTGAACAGCCACTCACATTGACTCTTTGCCTCCAAAATCTGTTCTCAGAAAGTTGAAAGACCACTATAAGCTATTGATTAAATCTACTTTTGGGAATTAGTCTCAATTTATTTAACTTTAGTATCAGATAAGGACAATTAAAATAAGTCATTTGATGAAATCTGAACCTAGAGGAAGTTTTTGGTTGTTTAATTTTTTGATCAATTCGATTTAAAAAATCAGGCTATGAAACTATTTGAACACGAGTCAGTGATGTTGAGATATAAAAACGAACAAACAAAAATCATAAATCTTCAGGCCTGCACGGTGATGACCGAGATGGGTGGGATGGGGGGGTGGGAGGGAGGTCCAAGAAGGAGGGGATATATGTACACATATAGCTGATTCACTTCATTATACAGCAGAAACTAACACAACATTGTAAAGCAATTTTACTCCAATAAAAAAAAAAAGAAAGAAAATTATGAATTAGAGGTTGCAAGGGAAAAATCTACTTCTTAATTAAAGGTTTTTTATTTATTTGTATGATAGGCAGGCTATATACCTTTCATGTCAGGCATCTGGAAAAGCAGAGACTGATCAAGGCATGAAAATCATCAGATTCACTCCAATAAAGCTTAACAGTTTTATAAGAAATAGACAGTTTGCAAATATTTTACCATAGCACTGTCTGAGGCTTATGAACCATAGACAGAGGCTTAGATCAAAGCCACAGGACATGCTGAGGTTTAGTTTGTGTTTGAGTTTATCCAGAAACAACGGAAACATGATATCATTTCACATCAGGCAATAAACCAAAGTGGAAACAGCACAATTGCAGTGATGGGTTCAGTCTGTGGTCAGGTTACACAGGAAAAAGGAGGAGAAAAAGTAAATTGTTCTGCTACAAAACTTTATTTCTCCTTGTAAAAATTTGTCATCAAATTGTGATCCAACCATGATCATCAAGTTGTGATCCCTAAGATGAGAGAGAGATTACCAGAACAAGAAAACCCTGCAGCAAGGAGTTAGAGATGTTTTTTTTTTCTTTCTTTCTCTTTTCTTCTCAAATCTCACCTTTTATTATGACAGTGTTTTCTTTCTCTTTTCTTCTCAAATCTCACCTTTTATTATGACAGTGTTAGATTTCATATCAGGCCAGCATGTAGTGGTTAAATGTGTGAAGTCTGCTGGAAGGAAAGCAACATATTCTCTAGTCCTTCCAGATAATGATATAAAACCTAAAGGATCATTTTGATAAGCACATTTTATCCCTCCCAACCAAAAAGGCATAATCATCACTCTTGTACTGCCAATGAATGACAGTTACATTATTTTGTACATTTATAAAATGTTCATACAGATTTTCATTTTACTATAAACAAGCATACTTAGTGTTCATTGAGGTCAAGTCTACGTTTACTTATTTTTAAGTTTTTTACTTTTTTATTGAAGTATAGCAAAGTGATTCAGATATACATATATATATTCTTTTTCAGATTCTTTTCTCTTATAGGTTATTATAAAATATTGAGTATAGTTCTCTGTGTATACAATAGGTCCTTGTTGGTTATATATTTTATGTATAGTAGTGTGTACATGTTAATTCCAAACTCCTAATTTATTCCTCCCTCAAGTCTATATTTATTAATGAAACATCATATTTAAATCTTCTTGATTCATTCATAGCTAAAATAAATAAGGAAAATTTCTTGTATTTGATGTGTACATCAAAAGTGTATTTTTTACACTCTTTAGTGTTTTAATACCCACTATTCTACGTATCACTCACCTTCACTTTAAACAGAGATATACCATCGTTCTTTTAAGGAAAAGAAAGGCATAAAGAGGTTAAGTAACTTTCCCAAGTGACACATCACACTAATATTGGAGTTGGGACCAGAAGACTATCTCCTTTCCCCAGACCCTGAAAAAAGTTGAGGAAAATTTGTAAACTAGTCACCTATATGCTTTTGCCAGGTAAATATGGCTTATCTGGGGTTGCTTATTTGCCTATTCTATTAAACTACCCAGAACTTCCTAGAATTTTTAAATGAATTGTGTAAAGTGCTTCAATAATCTCTGTCCAAATCAAAAGTGTAAATGTCTACAAGAATCTTTCTGTTCCTCTATGGCTGTTGGATACAACAATCACATCAATGATTAAGCAATGCTGAGAATTGCATTTTTATTTTGAGAACAGACTTATTTTACTTTAAAATAATGAATTCTAGAGAAAGCAATGAATTATCAATGGTAAAACATCAGGAATCAGTGGAGTACTACCAAGAACCTTCAAGCTATATTTATGAAATTCAAATTTAATTTAATAAAAAAAAATACTCAGAGGTTGGAATTCTGCTTGAAAAGGTAAAATCTAGAAGTAACTCTGAAACACTATAGGGACAAATTGGGAAGCACCTGGTAAAATAATCCAGATAAAAATTGAACTGTCAGTATAATTAGCACTCACTCTCTTCTGCATGTTTACTAGTTACCCTAATTTGTTCCCATTCTTGAATGGCTGGCTCTCTTTTACTGTTTACTTTACCTGAGGACTTATGTCTGTCTTACGTCACTTGGACATCAGGAGGAGAGCTTCTTTCACCTACCTAAAAATATGGCACAATACAGCCAACGTATTTTCAGGACAATCTGTAGTGCAAAAATGCTCATTTGTTTTTTTAAGGTAATAAAAAGAAAAAGAATAATGAGGAAAGTTAAATGAACCAATTTTTATCATGGCAAATACCCTAGAAGACAGTAAGTTTAATTATGGTATACTCCTTGTAAAACTGAGGCATAGAGAGTTTAAGTAAATTCTCTGTGTCATAAGACTCACCAGCGGCAGAGATAGGGTTCAAGTTCAGGATTTAGAGACCTCACGCCCACTGCTCATGACAGTGTTCTATTAATAATATCCTATTGTAATATAATGTTATACCATCACTCATGATAGATCAAGTTAATAATTATTTGTGAGTTAGACAAGCACAGATCTAGTTTTTTTGTTGTTTCTAACATTTTTTTCTGATTATTAACTTACTAAACTGGAAACTGGGAGATATTAGATCTCTATTCTAATTTAGCTCTGAGACTTTGAGACACTAACCTCTTTGCGTTTCACTTTCATTGTGCGTATGATGGAATTTTTAGAATAGATGTTGTACAAAGCCCCTTTTGCCCTCTAAAGCCAACTATTCATTCGAACCTCATTCTACAGAGTGTGCCCATTTATTTCAGTAGTCACGTTGTCAAAGCAGCAAAATTGAACTGGGATCAAGAGGGCAGTGGGGGAAAAGAGGACCCAGAATATTCCTCTCGCCAAAGTTTTGTCACATTTTGAAATAAGCCTGGAAGGCAGATTGGGTTTACTTAGATACTTGAATAGGTTGGCCATATAATGAATTAGAGCCTATATACTCCTTAAAAGGTAAGAGAAAATATAGATTAAATGCTCTACAGAAGATGTGGATCTTGGGACTTGTAGAATGATTAAGATTTAGATAAGTGGAGTGGATGAAGAGAGAATTCCACATAGAGGACACATCATGGGAACAAGTACATATGCAGGAATGAGAATCATGTGTTTAAGGACAAAATGAGGGAAGCTGGAAATACTGAAACAATGTTTTCATTTTGGCTTATCTTGAGAAATACCACTGGATAGATAAGTCAAGTTTGAGTTGTAGAATGTCTTAAACATTGGTCATTAGTGATCAATTGCTGCATAAAAAGTACCACAAACTTTGTGGCTCAAAACAGCACACATTTATTGTATTATCTCATAGTTTCTGTAGGTCAGGAGTCCAGGTATGGCTTAGCTGGATTCTCTGCTCAGTGTCATACAAGGCTGAAATAAAGCTGAAATGAAGTTCCAAAGCTGAAACTGCTTCTTACCCGAGACTTGCGGTCCTCTTTCAATCTCATTCAGGTTGTTGACAGAATTTATTACCTTGTGGTTGTGTGACTGAGTCCCCAGTTTCTTGCTGGCTGTCAGTCAGGGTGCTCTCTTAGCAGCTAGAAGCTTTCCTTTCCCAAGCATTCTAACAGCATGCTAGTGTATGCTTCTTAGTGGACATTGGGAGAGTTTCTTTTCACTTCTTTTATTGGGCTCACCTGAGTGTGCCAGACCCACCCAAGATAACCTCTTCTTTTGATTAACTCAAATTCAGTTGACTAGTAACACAATCATGGTAGTGATTGATATCTCATTATATCCACTGGTCCTGCCCACATCAAGGGGAGGGGATCATACAGGGCATGTACACCACAGGATGGGAATCTTGGGGCTGTCTTAAAAATATGCCTACCACAGCTGGATATTGGGAACATTATATTATAATAGAATATCATTCAAAGTTTATTGCTGTGTGAGATAATTTTGTTATACAAATCAAGCATAGAGGAGTCAGGCGAGACCTTCGAGATAGAGCTCAGGACTGCGGCTAGAGTCCCGGGCTGCTGGAGAGCAGGAGTCACCTCAGGACCTCGGGTCGTTGCGGAACCAAAGACACTACAGATGGCCCAAATGAGTATGTCCTCAAAATAAGCAACAGCGAGTCAAGCAAAACTCCAGACCTGATTGAAGTGCAGAGTCACATCATCATATTTCTGAGAGCGGCTGGATTTCCAACGGCCTCCGTGTGTCATACTAAAGAAGACAATTTAACCTCTCTCATATCAGTAGATAGCGGCTCTGAAATCAAAAGCTACTTGGTGAGGCTGCTGACTTATCTACCAGGAAGGCCTATAGCTGAGATTCCCATCAGCCCACAGCTATTATATGAAATTGGAAGAGTAGCTGCCAAATTGGATAAAACACTGGAGCCGAGTGGATGAAAGGCTCTTGCTGCTCCAGCCAGGAGTCAGGACTCTGCCTCTGAGGTGGGAGAGCCAACTTCAGAACACTCGTCAAGAAGAGACCTCCCAGCCCCACATAATATCAAACGGTGAAAATCTCCCAGAGATCTCCATCTCAACACCAGCACCCAGCTTCACTCAACGACCAGCAAGCTACAGTGCTGGACAACCTATGCCAACCATATAGCAAAACAGGAACACAACCCCACCCACTAGCAGAGAGGCTGCCTAAAATCATAATAAGTCCACAGACACCCCAAAACACACCACCAGACGTGGACCTGCCCACTAGAGAGACAAGATCTAGCCTCATACACCACAACACAGGCACTAGTCCCCTCCACCAGGAAGCCTACACAACCCACTAAAACAACCTTAGCCACTGGAGACAGACATCAAAAACAACGGGAGCTACGAACTTGCAGCCTGCAAAAAGGTGAACCCAATCACAGTAAGATAAGCAAAATGAGAAGACAGAAAAACACACAGCAGATGAAGGAGCAGGATAAAAACCCACCAGACCTAACAAATGAAGAGGAAATAGGCAGTCTACCTGAAAAAGAGTTCAGAATAATGATAGTAAAGATGATCCAAAATCTTGGAAATAGAATGGACAAAATGCAAGAAGCAGTTAACAAGGACCTAGAAGAAATAAAGATGAAACAGACAATGATGAACAACACAATAAATGAAATGAAAAATACTCTAGATGGGATCAATAGCAGAATAAATGAGGCAGAAGAACGGATAAGTGACCTGGAAGATAAAATAGTGGAAATAACTACTGCAGAGCAGAATAAAGAAAAAAGAATGAAAAGAACTGAGGACAGTCTCAGAGACCTCTGGGACAACATTAAACGCACCAACATTCGAATTATAGGGGTTCCAGAAGAAGAAGAGAAAAAGAAAGGGACTGAGAAAATATTTGAAGAGATTATAGTTGAAAACTTCCCTAATATGGGAAAGGAAATCGTTAATCAAGTCCAGGAAGCACAGAGAGTCCCATACAGGATAAATTCAAGGAGAAATACGCCAAGACACATATTAATCAAACTGTCAAAAACTAAATACAAAGAAAGCATATTAAAAGCAGCAAGGGAAAAACAACAAATAACACACAAGGGAATCCCCATAAGGTTAACAGCTGATCTCTCAGCAGAAACTCTACAAGCCAGAAGGGAGTGGCAGGACATACTGAAAGTGATGAAGGAGAAAAACCTGCAACCAAGATTACTCTACCCAGCAAGGATCTCATTCAGATTTGATGGAGAAATTAAAACCTTTACAGACAAGCAAAAGCTGAGAGAGTTCAGCACCACCAAACCAGCTTTACAACAAATGCTAAAGGAACTGCTCTAGACAAAAACACAAGAGAAGGAAAAGTCCTATAATAACGAACCCAAAACAATTTAGAAAATGGGAATAGGAACATACATATCGATAATTACCTTAAATGTAAATGGACTAAATGCTCCCACCAAAAGACACAGATTGGCTGAATGGATACAAAAACAAGACCCATATATATGCTGTCTACAAGAGACCCACTTCAGACCTAGAGACACATACAGACTGAAAGTAAGGGGATGGAAAAAGATATTCCATGCAAATGGAAACCAAAAGAAAGCTGGAGTAGCAATTCTCATATCAGACAAAATAGACTTTAAAATAAGGACTATCAGAAGAGACAAAGAAGGACACTACATAATGATTAAGGGATCGATCCAAGAAGAAGATATAACAATTGTAAATACTTATGCCCCCAACATAGGAGCACCTCAATACATAAGGCAAATACTAACAACCAT